ATGGCAAATTAACAGGCATAAGGCAGATGAAAAACTTTAATGACCAAAGTTTGTTTTAAAGTCCTGTGCACAGGCTGAGCATGGTACCTTTAATCTCAGTACTTGGGAGGCAGAGGCAGGTGGATCTCTGTGCGTTTGAGGCCAGCATGGTCTATATAGGGAGTTCCAGGCCAGCTGGGGCTACAAGGAGACCCTGTCTCAAAATAACCAGGCCCTAAATAAAGAAATGGGGTAGATCTAGAGTAACTAGGGCTGGGAGGATGGCTCTGTTGGTAAAGTGCTCACCTTGTAAGCATGAGGAACTCAATTTGATACCAAACAACCCATATAAGAATCCTAGTTGTGGTGGCTTGCACAGTAATCCTGGTGCTGGGGAGGCAGGCAGGAAACTAACTCCCTGGGGCTTGCAGACCAGCCAATCTAGCCTACTTGGGGAGCACCAGGACATGAAGGAGCCTATCTCAAAGGAGGTAGACAGCGTTTCTGAGAATGACATCCAAGGCTGTCCTCCCTCCACATGCACCTACCTGCACACACACAAACATGTACACACACACACTTACACATAAAAAAAGAGAGTTGGCTCAGTAGTTGAGTGCTGGCTGCTCTTGCAGAGGACCCAGGTTTGATTCCCAGCAATCATCAGTAACTCCAGTTCCAGGGTAACTGCCTCTACCTCCCAAGAGCTGGCATTATAAACATTTGAGACCAACCCTGGCCAAGACTCACTTTTCATTATAACTTTTTATGTTGTCTGAATTACTATAATATAATATTAGTTTTTAAATTTAAACGTTCATTGTTGTTATTGAGACAGGGTCTCCCTGTAACCCCGGCTGGCCTGGAACTTACTATGGAGACCAGGCTGGTCTCCATCTCACAGAGATTTACCCGCCCCTGCCTCCTGAGTGCTGGACTTAATGGCATGTGCCACCACACCCAGATCAAATTAAATTATTTTTTTTGTCTTTTTGAGACAGGGTCTCCCTGTAGCCCCAGCTGTCCTGGAACTCATTATGTAGACTAGGCTGGCCTCAAACTCACAAAGATCCGCCTGCCTCTGCCTCCCAAGTGCTGGGATTAAAGGCATGTGCCACCACACCCCACAAATTTAAATGTTTTAAAAATTGTACTTAAAATATACTTTTACCTCCATTACACATGGAGTTCTGGGCCAGCCTGGACTACATGAGACCCTGTCTTAAAAACAAAATAAAACAACAAAAATTTAAAAAGGGAAACATATGAAGCCAGCCACAGCCGAGCAGGACCTTTGACTTACCTTCACACAGATGGAACTGGTAAAAGAAAGGAGCCAGGGCTCCTCCCAAGCCCATGTGACTCCTGAGAACAGATCCTCAAACAACCTTAAGAGTAAAAATAAATTGGTTTATTTGAGCCAACTGTATGGTCTTAAACACCCAAAGGAAAGTATAACCAAAGAAAAAAGTCATCAGTGTATTTCTTTAAGAGTTCAAGGGATTACACTTCCTAGACATTAGGCTTGAGTCCATATAAAAAGTTAGAC